CGAACGATTGTACCTTGTGGACCTATTTGCAGCCAATGGTTATCCCAGGCATTTCATCGAGAGAAGCAGACGTTGGGCGCCCAGACAACGGCCAAATGAGCAGCAACCCGAAATCTGGAGGGCAATTCCTTACGTTAAATGTGTCTCTGAAGCGGTCTCGCGACTGTTACAACCCACCGGAGTAGGCATAGCCCATCGACCACAAGCAACAATCCGACGTCGCCTGATGCAACCTAAAGACCCATTGCCACCCGCTGAAACCTCAGCAGTCATCTACAAAATAAATTGCAATGAGGGTGACTGCAATTATGTGGGAGAAACTGGGCGGAAATTGCAAACTCGCCTACAAGAACACAACTCGGCCACTCGGAGGTTAGACCCTAACTCTCAACTAGCAACACACGTTGGGGAAACGGGGCATACTTTTGACCTCCAGAGGGCTACCATCTTAGGCCGAGGCAACACAAAAACAGAACGGCTAACTCTCGAGGCGTGGTTCTCCGATGCCCACTCTATCAACAGGCATCTGGACCTTCCTGCAGCTTACAAAGTCCTACGTCATCACAACCGTAGAGCTCAGGACCAAACAACCACACCGGAATTAAGAAGACAGCACGGAGATAGTCCGACGCTGAGCTTACTCGGTGAGGAAGAACAAGAACCGCCAGACCGACCGCCCGACTAAAGTCTAATCAGCTCCCCTCGACGGAGTGGTGACTCATAAAGCGCACAGGCAAAAACGCCCGTCAACCATTTCCTGAGAGGCCGACGCAGAGTGAGGAGAGAGAAAAATCGATCAGCATGAGGCCGGCGAACACAGCTTGCCACTTTAAGTTAACTTTCTGATCGATTAGGTGCAGTTTACGCTTTGACAATGAAGAGCCGACCCAGCTCTTTGAAACGTCAGCAGTTAAATAAAGATGAAATTTATGCCTGGCCGCAGATAGTCCTGCAGTGAGAGTCGTCTTTTATCATGCGTTAGATGCACTACGATGCACTAGATATTAATGTGTGTATGTAAGTTATTAATTTTCGCTGTGTGTGAGGGAGTGCCCAATCCACATGTTATGTGGGATTTAAACGCCCCTACTCGGTCTTCCAGTGAATATTCAAAAATTGAGTTCCAAACGGCAGGAACTCCTAATTAGATATGGGACCAAAACAGTCCTCCTATAGGCACATTATTATGAGAAGTTTGCATCGCCAGATGCATTCGGAGGACTGGTCTAAACACTGTCCTCTTCGAACGACGCATGTTATATGCTTACTAGACTTCCATATTCAAGTGCATGCATGGTTATATTCAGATTCACTCGAATGTGCATTTGCTTGATCACGTCCACGCCTGATAACCGCATGTACGTTTCATTTATAATTACTAGAGCAATCCTACTGAACATACCAATCGATACCATCTTCATCATTCTACATGTCGCCATTGGCCTCGTTTCCTACGTCTATTTCCGTGGATGTGATCCGAAACTGAGTGGCGAACTTCCGCGTTACGACATGCTCTTCCCCTTCCTTACGTTAAAACTTTTCGCAAACATTCCCGTCCTTCGAGGTCTCTTCCTGTCCGTCATTTTTGCGGCAGCATTCAGGTTGGCTTTTTAACGCCTAATTAACTTTTCTAGTATTGACTTATAAGCTATAAGGGTCAACAATAGTCAATTAACGAAAAGAAGAGCTTAACAATCAGATTTCTACATAAAGGGAGTGACAAATTTACTTGAATTTCTTGAGCGAGCAATAAATTGTTGCTCGTACGCTTGTCAGTAAGCACTGGAAATATTCAACAGGCGTCTGGTCAGCCGAAATATCTAAGTATTGCGAAGACACTGCTTAGGCTACTTTAAAAAAGGTTGTTACCATTCATATGAGAACTAACGGCTATAGACACCGTGTTCTGCATGAACGACTTAGTACATGTTGTTACCTAAAATTTGTGTTTACGAGAACACATGTTCTTAAAAATATGCAAAAATTCGAGACCCATTAGTGACACTTCGACTATAAATTGTCGGAAACCCTATTCTCCCCCCTCAGTTCCAGTGTGTCTAATTTTCAGTAGATTAATGTCAATGAAAAAACAAGGACATATCAGTTCGACAAAACCAATGGAGCTAGATTGCTTATTTCATACTATCTGTTGCCGCCTTAAGTTATTTTCTTTAACTTCTATTAACAGCCTTACCATATCTGCTCTTCACTTTTCGTTTGCAGCACGATATCTTCGGGGCTTAATAGTTTGGCTGCCGTTGGAATCCAGGATATATTTTTGCCCATATACAAGAAGAAAAAGCCGGACGGGGAAATTAAAGCGAAACGGCTGACCTTAATCTCTCGCCTTGTTGGTATGCGCTTGCTGGCTGTTCAGATTTATTTTTATTTGCCAACCTGCGTGACTTATTTGGATATGTAAACCTTACATGGGACCCATACCGTACATGTCAAGGCCTGGTGGCGGTAGTTGGGTTAGGTAGTGCCCGACACGCGTGGGCGGGTTATGTAGCCTTGCGAATACTGCGAGTGGCCGATCTCGTGAAATGTTGGCGGAAGGATTACATAGTCGCGGTTGTAATATTGATTATTTTGCGGCTTAATCCTATATTATGTCGGACTCGGCAGGGTGTTAGCTATTGAATGCACTACTTTTCAATCTCCTGTGGAAGCCGTACTCGGTAAATATGACAACTGAAGCAGCATGCATTTTGTCCATCGATTTTCTATGGTCATGCAAATTCGAATATATCTTATAGGAAGCGCAAATAAAAATATGCTTTCGGCCAGTCGTTTGGTAGGGAATCCCGTCATCTTTATATTTTTAACTCGAAGAAGGGATATAACTAGGTTTTAAGCAAGTATTCTAATTGCCGAACAATTTGGAGCCTGATCAGTCGTTGCGTTAGCGTTTAGGGATTTCAGTCTACAAGGTGCTTGCATTCCGCCTAAAGAAAATTAAATATTCTTCTGTCTTTAAAAAGATACCGTATAGATTCCATAAAAGTTTGCAATGGATGAGGACTATGATGGACATTTCCTGAGGAGCAGTGATAAACGGATAGGTAAAGTGCTATATGAATGGGCATGGCGCGGTCTTAAAAAATCCCATAATTAGCAACTTTTTAAAAACCTAATTATACTAATTCTTCGAGTATAAAATATAAAGATAGCGTGATTCTCTACCAAAGGACCGAAAGAAGGCATATTTTTTACGGTTACATAAGATACATATATTTGCATTTGAACGACCACCGAAAATCAGTGGGAAAAATGCAGGCTATTCAAGTTGTTATTTTGACCGAGTACGGATTCTACATCAGATTGAAAAGCAGTGCATTCAAAAGCCAGCATCATGCCGAGTTCGACATATTATAGGATTATGTCAAATCCTATATTGCTGAGTGAGATATAAAGCCATGGGAAATCTAAAACAGTTCGCTATGAACTTAGCTGACGCACTCTTATTTTGAGTTTAACTCTTACTTGTCATGGCACTTCTGCGCCAAGTCACAAATAACTGCTCCATAATGAGTAGGCGCCTTGTAATGTCTTTGTGAATCTCCTACCTCAAAATTTGGATGTCCCAAAATACTGACGGTTATCTGCCCTACCTTTGCCTGTATTCTCTGCGTCTTAAATGGCTTCTTAATCAAACGCCATAGCCGGAAGTTAATCTGACAGCCACTTGTAAATTGGCATCTACGTAAGCCCAAGAAAACCTGTCTGGATCTGTGATACAAGTCAATGTAAACTTCTTTCTTTCAGAGTAGTCGCTGTGCCTAATGCAAAACGTGGCTCCGTCAGCAATGCCTGGAAGTGATTTGAAATGAATAGGAGGCTGATGCCATGCCCGTAATGCACATTGTAATCAGATTGATAGCGAGGGTATTATTGTCCAGGCTGTTGTAGTCCATATCTGTCACAACTATCTGTTCTTTATCGATTTACGTATAACGCCATTCGCCCATTATAGTTGTAATCGGGTAAGAATAAAGCGTACGTTTACTCCTAAAAGTCACCGAAGGCCACAATTATGAGGGTTAATTGAAACGCAAGCAGTGAAAACGGAGTATTTGTGAAGGACAATTGAAATGTCTAGAAGGGATACCAAAACCTTTTCAAAACTCATCGTTTTAATTACTGTGGAT